TACACAGTGCCTTCCAAATAGTTTAGGAACATAAAGAGAAGACAAAAACTGATCAACTACAAGTACTGGAGATTCAGGAAGATAAAAGCAACATAGTCCAAATACTATTTATTCAGAGATTCAAGAAAAAACCACCACCAATCATTGGTATAGAGTTCGTATGCAGCTCCTCCTGGTGTAGACAACGTAGTGTAAACATAATTCCACATTTCTCGTAAGAGGTTTAGGCTTGTTGGCTTAATATACGTTAAGGCAAGAGTGATCGGAGACAATGCTGTTGTAGCTACAATTGTTGCTGCGTGATCGGGATCAATAATCTCCTTGTAATCCCTAAAAGTTATGCAACACATGCACCAATAGATGCTGTTAGCGAGCTTGAGAATTTTGGCTTCAAATTCGGCATTTCCATTACCCTTTTCCCGAATATACATTTTTGTTGCCTTTCCTGCAGCATCAATTGATTCTCTAACGAATAAGCTTCCTTCCAGTTTGAGTACATCACTAGCATTAGCTATATGGTGATGGGTTGGGTTTTGCTCTTGTTCATCTTTCGAACCATAATTTCTGCTTTTCTTAGCTTCGCTTCAATGTTGGCTTCGTCCTGAAGCATTTTTGTAGTTTGAAGCTCAGCCAATGCTTTATATCTATTTTCATACTTTTACTGTTTCTTTTCTATATCTACAATTTCATCTTTCAATAACTGTTCGAGAGCATTACACGCAAGATCGACTCTCATGGGCAGGGTCAGTGAGTCTGGCTGATGAAAAGTGTTCTCCATGTGATCTATGATCTCTTGAAGTGTGCATGACTGGTATCTGCTCATGACAACCAGTACCTTACACCTCTCATTCCACCAGTCTTCAAACATATCAATGGACCCATTTGAATGGTATCCAAGCCTTGTTCTGTTGTGAGTCAGCTTCCTAAAGGATTCATACTGCTTCTTACAAGTAGTATACTTAATGCCGAATTTCCTCCATGGATGCCTTTCACCAAAAGTCTCAGCAAACTTGTCTATAATGGATTGTATCGCAACATCATTCACTTTGTCTTTTCTTATATTTCCTTTAAGTTTCTCATCAACTCTTAGTTGAAGATAGAAACGGGTTTGCTCATCACTCCAAGCAAGGTTCTTAGAACAACAAGAAACACACAACAGGGAACAAAACGATTCACCTTCAAGCAAGATTCTTAGAACAAAACAACACAGAACATGGAAGAACAAAACAACACACGAACGATGAACATTTTCATTATAAACATATGAGTTGAGAAGAAGATACTCACATCAGTACCAGCAATGGATGTCATTGTTTTTCTGATGAAGTGCCAGCCAACTGTGAAAAAATTAGGGCCGATTAAGCTGTGATATGATCAAAGTTCAGAAAACAGTTATTTTGCCATCATCAATACAAGCATGAAAACGTGAAAAGCACAAAAAGAAAACATACATTAACGTTCAGACAATATCCATGTTGATAACAAGTACTAGAATTATGACTAATCAAGTTCATTGCATTTTTTTATGGTGTTGTGTGATGTGCAGCTAATTACGGCTGGAAAGCAAAAGAAAAGAGAGAAAACGAGAAACTAACTTCTCTAATAAAACTAGCAGCTGGAATTAGAAGTTTTGTGCTCTTCTGGAATTGGCGAATCTCTCTGAGAGCAACAGTTTTTGGCTTGTATCGGTAAGGCTTCTTTGTTGAACCTAGAAGTGAAAGGAAAACAGATAGTTACAGTGAGAACATATAACTTGTGAAAACATATAACTTGTAGAGGAACAGATTTATGAGCAAATGCAGCTTAAAATTTGCATCTTCAAAAGCTAGTGAGACTCGTGATATAACTCAAACAATAAAGGGAGAACCTTTTTTCAGATCTACAAACTTCAATTGATAATTCTTTACTCTAACGAAATCAACAATCGCTAATATAGAGAAGCATGATTCAATCAAATTCTAAATGAAAAAATCCTTAATTCTTGTTCACCAAATGAACAAGAAAAAGAAACAGAGTTGCAGGAAGAGGATATAGAGAAGCATGAATCAACAAGTGAAGAAGACATAAGTACCAAATCAACAAGTGATGAACAAACACCAAACAGGATCAGAAGATGAACAAACACAAACAAAATCTACACTAGACACGAGAAGCTACAGCAAAACCAAATGCATCTATATAACAAGTTGAAATCTAGTAAAAGCTAAGAGCTGTAAAAGACTAAAATCCAGAAGCCGTCGATGCAACAAAACCCAGAAGACTAAAATCCAGAACACTAAAACCCAACTGCAACAAAACCCAGAAGAGTAAAATCTAGTAACAAGTCGAAATTCATCCTCAATCGATGTCTGTAATAGCTAAGAGCTTAAAAAAACTGAAGAAAATAGAGAGGAGAAGCTTGCCTGTTTAAGAAGCCGTCGGAGAAGAACCAGCTCGTCGGAGAGAAGAACAATCTCGTCGGAGAGAAGAACAAGCTCGCCGGAGAGAAGAACCAGCTCGCCGGAGAGAAGAACCAGCTCGCCAGAGAGAAGAATTGCCGGAGTGAAAACGAAAAGACGAGAGTCGTGAGAGGTGAGAGTCGGAGAATTCTCGATTTAGATCTAGTTTGCTGCAGGGGTATTTTGGTCTTTTTTATTTTTAACTGAGCCTGATTCATTCAAATGATCCAATTTAGAGCAGTTGGATGAGTTTTAATACTTATTCACAATTTTAAACACTCATTCAAATGATTCATCTGAATGAAGATGTTTTTAAGCACTAAAACAAACATCAGTTGTCATCTTCATTCAGATGATCCATCTGACTGGACAAACAAACAAGGCCACGATCACCACCCATCCACAAAGAAACTGAATCATTGGGGCATTGTAAGGGACATGCTCATCAATCCCAATGTTTTTCATTCCAGCTCTCATTTCATCTTACGGCGTCAGAGGTGTTCTTCTAATCTCGTCGATACAATCAACCATAGAGACTCATCCATATAGCTAACTATATTCCTAAACAGAAGATATCAAAGCACATAAAGTGGTGTGGAATTCTCAGCTATGGCAGACGTGGAGCATATGTACAAGCTTCGTAATTAAACTAAACAAAATAAGTAAATAACTATCTTTACAGGAAAATGGCACATCTTCGTGTAATCAAACGTTCCAACGAGATTCATTGATCTGGAAAAGGAATAAGATCTGGAAAAAGAAGAATGAAATGAAGAAGGAGATCGGTGGTGTGAGAGCTTGACGCACCTGAAGAATCTCTGCTGGCCCCAACGGAGATAAGGTAAGGTGAAGTTATGGAGGCGTTTGGATCTCTACGGCGGAGGAGGAAATTCCATTGATTTGAGCCATTAATTGAAGAAAGTTGTGTTGCTTCTCTCTGTGCCCTTAAGGCAAGAAGAGATTACACCTTCGAGATTCGATTGATCTCCACAATTAAGACATGGGTTCCGGTTCGGAGCTGAAAATTCGATGTTTATGTCTAAAAAAGTTCCGGCTCCAATTTCTAAACCACCTCTGCGAGTGAAATGAAAGACTTTTCCATCGCCTACATAGATTCCTGTGAATTTGTAAAATCAGAAAATTCAGCGTTGTTCATCTACCACTCCCAAAATATCCCCAAATTTGAGATCTTGGATAATTTCAACAGCAAAAACCCAGAAATAACTAAGATCGACCTAGAGAAAGAGATGGAACCGTGATGGATGTACAAATAAGAACGGTATGAGTAAATCTCCTGCCTTGAGTTCGGAGATCTTGTTGGAGAAATATCCCATCTTCTAGTTAGAGCGAGAGAGAGGAAGAGAAGTAGAAAAGATACGGTTTTCTTATTTCCTCTCTTTCTTCCCAACTTTGATAAATCTGAATGTGTTTTTTTTGTTTGACGCCTAACCGATATCACACTCAACAAACGTTCCGATATTGACTTTCTACTTGAGGAAGCCAATCGGGAGCCGTTGAGCTGACGTAGGAGAAACTAATTCCACGCGATCTAGCCTTCTTTGCGAGAAAATCTGCACGGGTGTTATCAACTCTGGAGATTTGCTTTATGATGAAAGACGAGAATTGCTTCTTGAGGGCCATCACATCCTCTAGCTCTGAGGCAAAAGCCAGCCAATCCAAAGGATTATCGATCATGTGGAGCAAGTCTGCGCAGTCAGTGATGAAGGCGATGTGTGGCAGCGAGATCTCCAATAAACACTCCATTGCCCAAAGCAGTGATTCTAATTCTGAGTGGAGGGGGGATAAACTCCTTCTTGTGCCTTTCAATCCCATGTATAATAGGATTCCACCTTGTTCAAGACACCAGCCATAGCCGCTAAAGTTGTCTACCCCTTTCCACGACCCATCCAAATAACAAACCAGCAGATTAGGGGGCGGGGAGAAGGGCACTCGAGAATGACTACTCGGAATAAGTACCATGTCATCTGAAACGTTAGCCTGTCTCCATGCTTCCTCCTCCTGGATTGCATGATTTAGTGTATCCAAAGGTTCTTCATTAATATTGTCGAAGACCTTCCGATTTCTGGCCTTCCAAATAAACCACATCAGCCATGGAAAAACTCGAATAGACTCCTCCGAACATCCATTTTTCTCTGCACGCCACAAGAGAAAATCAATGCTATCATAGATAGATGACGATGGGAACACATCTGGAGCTGATGGGATATCAGATAGAGCCCAAATCTGTCGGGCGGGAGGACACTCAAACAGCATGTGCTGAATAGATTCTTCCTCAGCGCCACACCGAGGGCATTCTTTGTCTCTCCCAATATGTCAGGATAAAAGGCGTTGGCAAGTTGCAACGCACCCCGAAAGACATTGCCACACGAAATGCTTGAGCTTCCGTGTTGTTTTAAGTTTCCAAACTTGTGCCTTGAGTATCAAGAAACTTGGTCCCTGAGAAGGGGGTCCACAAGAAAGACGAGACAGAGCTATCGCGGTATAGTAGCCTAATTTCACCGTATATAGGCCAGATTTAGTCAGCGGCCAGCTATAACTATCTCTCGAGACTGATCGGCTCAGAGGGATCCCTTGAATCAGGGATATATCTTCTGGGAGGAAAAGATCATGTAAACGTTCCAGGTTCCATTGTTTGGTCTCAAAGTCAATCAGGGAGTTAACATAAAGAAGGGGGTCCCTTTCCTCGTGGATTCCTTTAGGCGGTCTAGCAGGAGAGTCAGGGATCCAAGGATCTGACCAAACACATGTTTCAAACCCGAAATCAATGGTCTTGCGAATGTTCGACCGCAGAAGAGGTTGTGCTGCCATAATGCTTCTCCACCCGTAAGACGGACGGTTAGAGACGCTGATCTCCAAGGGGTTTCAGTACTTAAAGTACCTTCCTTTCAATATCCTGCTTAACAAGGAATTGGGGTAGCGCAGGAGTCTCCATAATTGCTTCCCAAGAAGCGCTATGTTGAACTCCTCAAGACTTCTGAATCCCAAACCTCCCTCATCTAGGTTATAGCACAGCTTATCCCAGGCGATCCAGTGGATTTCCCCACTATTTTCCTTGGTACTCCACCAGAAGTTAGCAATGGCGCTATTCAATTTAGAACGAATTGCTTTCGGAAGTAGATAACACGACATCACATAGGTCGGAAGGGCTTGGGCCTGCGATTTAATTAAGATCTCTTTACCACCTCGCGAGAGTAGTTTCGCTGACCAAGAATTGATCCGGCTTTGGAGTTGATCTCTTACAAAGGAAAAGACTTGGACCTTTGAGCCTTTAATTTGTTCAGGGAGGCCTAAATACATCCCCATTCCTCCTTCTTGATGGATCCCTAAAGTGGCTTTTATTTCCGATCTAGATTGGGTCAGGATGTCATTTCTGAACATAACGGAGGATTTAGCGTAGTTAATTCTTTGCCCCGAAGCCACACCATAGGAATGGATAATGTCGATAACTTCTTTGCTTTGAGGAACATCAGCCCTGCAAAAGAAAAGACTATCGTCCGCGAATAGAAGATGCGACGTAGTTGGGCTTGCTCGAGCTATCCTGATCCCGTGAATCTTTCCGTCCGTCTCTGCTCGTTTGAGTTGAGCGATCAAAGCCTCTGTGCACAGGATAAACAAATGGGGAGATATCGGATCCCCTTGGCGAATACCTCGAGAGGGTTTAATAAGGCCCTTCAGAGATCCATTAATGATGACTCTATAAGTGACCGATGTAATACAATGCATGATCCACTTAATCCATCTGGAATCAAAACCCATCCTTTCCATCAGGGCTCGGAGAAAGTTCCACTCTACACGATCATACGCCTTACTCATATCGGTTTTGATGGCCATAAATTTCTTCCGGCAGGCCGGGTTGGATCGGAGAGCGTGGAAATTTTCCTGTGCAATAAGGATATTGTCTGTGATTAAACGTCCAGCAACAAATGCCGATTGGGTCTCGGAAATTAGTTCCGGAAGAAACCTCTTTAGGCGAGTACTCAGAATTTTGGAAATGACTTTGTAAGCCACATTACAAAGGCTAATGGGTCTAAAGCCGGAAATTTCTCGAGGTATGTCACCCTTAGGAATCAGGCAAATATTGGTCTCATTCAGCTTGCCATCGAAGGAACCCGTACGGAGAAACTCGCGGATAGTTACCACCAGACTGTCTTTGACCGTATCCCAAAATCTCTGGAAGAATAAGGGAGTCATCCCATCAGGACCAAGAGACTTGTCAGGATTCATAGAGAATAAAGCTCGTCGTACTTCCTCGACGGACACGTCCTTAGTTAGGGACTCATTCATTGATGTCGTGACAGACACCTGAACGTTACTGATAGACAAGACTTTTTATAGTCTCAGGGCTATCAATCCCCTTGTCAAAGTAGCACAAAGAGGTTAATCAATCCAAGAATGTGGTGATAGACACTAAGCTATATGATCAAGTTCTTAATTCAAGTAAACAAGACTGGGTTTTGATTAATCTAGAGACAACTACAAACATAAACAAGATTAAAGACTAATGACAATTGACAAAACAAGAACTAAGCAATGACAAATGATGTGAATATGATATGATGGAGGCATGAGATCCTTGGTTAGGGTGCTTTGGTGCTAAACTGGAAATGCTAATGACAATTATGAGACATGATTCAAATGATTAAGAACTCTAACCTAGGTTGATCCTCTCATGAAGGTATTAACCCCTATACTAATCCATTTTCAAACCAAACTCCCATTTGTGAAATATGAATCAATATGCATTAATAGACAGTTCTCAATGATCATTCAAGCAAATAACAATACATCATCATGCAGAAAAATGCTTAAACCTCTAATACAACTCTTTCAGGAATTTCATCAAACACTTTTGGTGCATGAAATTCCCAGAATCTAGATCTCAAGTGATTATCAAGGATCTAGCATAGAGAACAGTTGTTTAGAGAAATGAATCAATGAATCTAGCCCTAAGCACTCCTGATCTAACACTTTAGCACCCTAACCTACACATCTAGAACCTCATTAAGGTGACTACTCACTAATCATGATCAACACACTAAATCCTTTGCAAGATGTGTTGTTAATCATGATTAGAAGTTTGATTTGATGATAAGAAATGATGAATAAGATGGAAAGAAACTTCAAAATCGATCTTAAGCTCTCTAAAACAAAGTGTATTAAGTAGGTTTTCACCAAAGGGGAAAGAAAACTAAAAGTGGATAAAAAAGTTCTCTACAAATTAGGTCTAAAAACCTTATAAAAGAGGCTTAGGCGAACCGGGTCAACCCGGAACAAACCGGGTACTGACTCGGCCTTGATGGACAAGTATGGGTTTGCCACGGTCTGGTGTGTTCTTGGTGTGACCGTGGCAATCCTGACCGTGTCAAAGCCTTCACTTGTGTTCTTGGTTCCTTTTGATGCCACAGTCTGATCAAGCTTCGTCTGAAACCCGTGGCAAGTCACCGTGTCAAACGCCGAAGATGTGTAAAAGTTGCCATGGTCAAGCCCCCAGACCGTGGCATTCAGACCGTGTCAAAACCCGCATGCATGTGAAATCCTTCCCAGCCAAGTATTTGTTTGCCACAGTCAAGTCTCAGACCGTGGCATTGAAACCGTGTCAAAACTCGAAGCTGTGTAAAAGTTATCTCCAGCCAATTGTTCATTTGCCACGGTCAAGTCCCAGACCGTGGCATTCAGCTCGTGCCAATCGCCGAAGGTTGCAAGAAGTTGCCACGGTCAAGCCTCAGACCGTGGCATTTGGGCCGTGTCAATCGCCGAATGGTGTGAAAAAGTTCCTCTCAGCCAAGTGTGTGTTTGCCACGGTCAAGTGTAGACCGTGGCATGAAGATCGCGTCATTAACCGAGGGTGTGCAAAAGCTGCCACGGCCATGTGTGGACCGTGGCATTCCATCGCGGCATGTTTAACTTAGTCATTCTGAGCTATCTGGACCATCTCGCATTCCGGAGAGTGTAACTTCCTGTAGACTTGTCCGAATTGAGTGATTCCGGTTGCAGAAGACAGAGGACTCATTTGACTCCAACTTTGATGAAGGAAGCTTCGGTTCTTGGGAAGTTTAAAGCTTCCTGAAGGGGTCATCTTTGCAGTGCATTTGCACGATCAGAGAAGGCCGTCTATACATACGTCCAGTCCGGAGACCGTATCTTTCTGCCCAAAGCTCCGAATTGACTGGTCTCGGATGTTCTAGAAAGAGGACTCAAGTGTCTCTGATTCTCATGAAGGCCCCGGAAACTGAATCGGCCTGGAAGTACTCCGTCCTTCGCATTTTTCAGAACTCGTCGGCTCGGTCCAAAACAACAGCGATACAGGGGTTCCTTCCGTCGAGCTTAACTTCCTGCTCAGGCGTCCGAATTCCGTGATTTCACTTGCTATGAAACCGTGATCAAGTCCTCTCCAACTTCTATGAAGCACCCGCCATCCGAATCGGACCGGAAGGTTCCCCGGACAGGCGATTTCTGAGACATGTTTGCACCCGGAGATTTTGGCCGATACACTTTACTCGCGGTACATGAAAATGGCCGGTAAACTCTTCCTGCGGTACATATAAATGGCCGAGAAAACCTTCCTGGTCAGCGAGAATGGCCGATAACCTCCAAAGATCCAATTTTTGCCACTTTTCAAGCTTTGCTCACCATACCACCTCCTGGATTCATCTTTTCAGCTCCAAATTCACCTGATAAACACTCAAAACATGCAAAGACTCATTGGGACCTAATGCATCTCCTAAGTTCTAAAAAAAACCCTAAGGACCTAAAATGCATGAAATAAAACATGATTTGGAATGATTTATGCAACCTAAATGATGCAAAATATGAACATATCAGTTACAGAGGATTTGATCGATATTTGATGAAGGCGCTGAGGAGAAAAGGTTGTGGAAGTACTCAACCGCAATCGTCTCGATACCATCCTCATTGTCCACCCAATTGCCACTTTGATCAAGGAGTCCAAGGATCCGATTTCTAGCACGTCTCTGCTTGGTTGTAGCATGAAAGAATTTAGTATTTCTATCCCCGTCTTTCAACCATAAAGCTCGACATTTTGCTCTCTAATATTGATCCTCTTCATTATAAGCCACACAAATTTTATTTTTTAAGTCGTGGAGGATCTCGGGGGAAGTGTTATCATCTTCATTTGCTTTATCAATTCGATCTTGAAGTTCTGTAATGAGCTTTTCCGAGTTCGTTTTGGTTCCCTTCTTCCATTTGGAGATCAATTTCCTACAGCTTTGGATTCGGTGAACAATGGGGGCATTCCTCGATCGATGGGGTTCATTCCATCCCTCGGATACAACACCTTGTAGGCCTGGTTTGTCTAACCATCTCCTATCAAAAATAAAGTTCTTATTCAACTGGGACGGTTTATGCTGGATGGAAACAAGGAGGGGTCTATGGTCAGAGGCCCACATCTTCAAAGAATCCACTTGCGTATAAGAGAAGATGTTATGCCACTCTTCATTTCCCATAGCACGATCTAGTCTACACTTAATTAGGCCATTACGTCGGCGTCCTATCCAGGAGAAGGAGTTCCCTTTAAAGGGAAAATCAATGAAACCACAACAATTAATCATGGCTCGGAAAGAAAGGAAAGAGGATTCAGAACGACGTTTGCCACCACATTTCTCATGATTTCCAGTAATTTCGTTAAAATCACCAACAATAAACCAAGCGTCAGAGCGGCTAACACCAATCCTATTTAATCTTTCCCAAACATAGTCTCGGTTCTTAACAACCGGATCACCGTAAATAAACGACATAAAAACACGGTTTCCATCGATAATAGTCTCAACATCAATCAAACGATCATCAGAACATAAAATCTTAACCGGAAAGTCTTTAGAATACATAAGAGCTAAGCCTCCACTAGTACTATCAGGTTCAACAGTATGGAGGTTATCAAATCCAAGAGTAGCTTGCACATTTTGCAGAAAAAAGCGATCATTTTTGTCTCTGATAAAAATAAAAAACCTGGAGAGAATCTCCTACACATCTCTTCCAGTCGTCGGGAGGTTGGTTTTGCTCCCGCCCCTTGACAGTTCCATGCTATGGTCCTCATTTAGCGGGCTTGGGTGGGTTCTTGGACCCCACCAAACCTACACGAGAAAGAAAATAATTTGAAGACTTAGGATCACACGATGCATCTGGTTTAGAGATGGAAAAAAACGCCTCCTTACGAGGGAACAATTTAGAACTCTTGGGTATCTTACCCTTAGATCCACCAAGGTTTATCCCCGATTTCTTCCTTGGGGAGCTCCTCCCCTGAAACGGTTTCAGCTTCTTGGAGATTGCTACGCCAACACCCTTGGGGCTCTTCGGAATTTTCTTCCGACCTTCTACATGCTTTCTTGAACCGGAACTGGGAAGCGCTCCATCCTTTTTATCTTTGGAATTCTTTCCCGTTTGAAGAGAAGCTTTAGGTCGCTTGGGAGAGGGGATTCGACGGCTTGTAGGAGATTGGGATGTGGCAGGGGTCACCCTAGTTTCGTGCATTATGGGCACAAGAGGTTCGGAGATTGTGTGTTCCTGACTCACTCCTCCGAGAGTGTCATTGAGGAGATCTTCGCCCAGCAAATCGTCATTCTCCAACATCTCATCTTCCATCATTTTACGTTCACACTCATCAAAGATCCGAAGATCTTCTTCCGTGAACTCCACATCCCCATTCTCCTCGACAGGAAAAGAAGTCATGTCCTTCTCAGTGGGCTCCACTATGACATTTCCCTCACCCGGGTCATCCGCCATTTCTTCGTCTTCAGCTAGCTCATTGGCGAGTTCCTCCTCAGCAAGATCATCGACAAGGTATTCCCAGTCAAAAGGCACCACCTCTTCACCAAAGAGATTTTTCTCTCCCTCAGTGTTTCATTTCTGTATCGTCAAGCTCCAATCCCAAGGGGGTAGTCGGGTCAATCACAGCGAATCCCGAATCATTCACTGGGAGATCCTTCAGATTAGAGTGAGCATTACCCGAGCCCGAGCCATATTCAAAAATTCATGGAGGCGATCTGGCAATTTCTCCAGGCTCCCCGTCTTCAGCAATGGCTTTCCCCTTATCCCTTGATGGGTTCGAGACTGAGATTTCATTGTTTCTGGATGACTCCAGCGTCTGCGATCGGGAAGGCCTTGAAGGTTGCCATTGAGCAAAACTTGGGTTTTCCCGCGGAGGGGATCGCTGTAGCTGCCTCTGAAATGCTGCACCTCGCCGGCGGAGCGGTTCATTTCTGCGGGTCTCACCTCTGGTCGGGTTATCGCGGGGACGCCAAGCACTTGTTGCGAAGGATTCCTCGTTCCTGCGTTTTCTCGATCCAGATGATGAGATGGCCGAATTCTCCCGATTACGGGGATGATGAGAGCGCCTGGCATCTTCAACTATTGTCCACACAGAACCCCTGCCACTCTCTCTACCCGACATCTCCCTGTCCTGGTTTAGGTTACGTCTTACAGGAGGTCTCGGTGGGTCAGAACTCGGCAGAGAAGCGCCTCGCTGGAGTACAGTAAGGTCCCTACGATCGTTACCTCCTAAAGTCAGTCGCTCCCTCACGGTCACACGAGGGGCTTCTCGATGCCTTGGAGATACACCGTTCGTTTCCTTGGCTCTTTCATTGCTTGACGAATACAGAGCCGAGCGACGAGCCCTGTTTTCCTGTCTTTCACGCTCCGAGAGCACAGGGCAGTTTCTCTCTTCGTGAGAAATCATATTGCATGTAAAGCAGAAGCGATAGAGCCGCTCGTATTGAAGAGAAACAGAGACTTCATCACCATTATTGAACTGAGCTCTTCGTTCCATGACAAGAGGCTTAGAAGCATCCACTGTCACCTGAACTCTGTCGTCTTTCACATCGACTTCCTCCACATGCCCCAGAGCCTTGCCAACACTGCGGAAAGCTTCGTCCACCCAGTAATGGAGTGGGATCCCTCTGATTCTCACCCAAAAAGTGACTGTACTCGGGAAATCCTCCCGGATATTGGGTTCCCATCTTTCCAGGGAAAAAGTCCACTTATTGAAGTGACAAGGTCTTCGCTTGAGCACCTTTTGCAGGTCTTCCTCTGTTTCAAAGTCGAAGTAGAAACGACCATTTCCGAGGTCATGACCCTGAACTCTTCCGTCGAGGTCCCAGATGTCGGCGCAAGGCATGAAGGCCAGGAGCGCCTCCGTACTTCGACCAAGATGGAAAGTACGGCCGATGAGAGTTAGTCGGAAGCGAGCCAGAAGGGCTGAGTTGTCGAAGCGAGGGATTCGAATGGGTTCCTCCTCCTGCGGAGATCTCCGGCCTCTTGGAGCAGACACATCAGAGTTTTTGTTCGTCATTCCACAGAGTAACACGTAGCAGGGTGCTAGAGAAGGAGATCTGGAGATCTACAAGAAAATGGTGAAGATTTACAAAAGTCACTCGAAAAAAGATGCAGGAGAGTTCAAGGAAAAGAGGTTAGAACACGGGAAAACATACGAGAAAACAGAGAGAAACAGAAGCAGAAAGGTTGTCGAAGAGGAGGAGACAAGATCAGAGATGAGGAGACACGATTTGCAAAGGAAAAATCAAAGTCCAAACATTCCGTACAAGTCGGCGCTTGGGAGAGAAAAGAGATCTAGGGCGAACTAAATCTGAATGTGATTTATTATAGAGTTTTGTGTTTTAAAGATTTTAACTAAGGGGAAAGGTAAAAAATAGACTCAAAATAGAAATGAAATAAGATAAAATAAAGGGTAAAACAGTAAAAAAAATAGGAGCAAAATAAGATAAGTCCATATAAAAAGTATACTTAATAATAATATTCTCTTGAAACCAATCAGAATTGTCCATATCAGCATTTTTGCCATGTCACATTTGACGTGAAATAAATGTTATCATTGACATAAGCAAGATCTGTTTTTTGAACCAATCAAATTAAAACAAATCAGATTTTTTCATTAAACTACATTCTCATTTGATATATAAGATTTATTATATACATAAATGTAATTTAAAAGTCAATTAATACAAAAAATTTTTTTATTTATTTAAGTGATTTAAAACTTAAATTAAATTCTATTAGTTAATTTTCTTTAAAATGTATGATACGTTTTATCTTCATATTGATCGAAACTGATGATGTGTCACTTATATAGAGAGAATTGATAATCTTTTATATATAAAATTAGATAAGATATAAGAAAATGGCTACAATTTTCAGTATCATAACAAAAATAACAAAATTCCGAGATCCTATATAAGGCAATAATGAGAAAATGAATTGTTGGTATGAACAACAATCCAACACAAAAATTGATTAAACCGCAAAAATAATCTACATAGGAAAAAATGGTTACCCATTGGAACCGACCATGCTAAAATTAAATGGGGGATCACCACCTCATAACATCACCGATCATCACCGATCATCACCGGTCGCTATGAGAAACCAAACCAATTATTGTACTCTGTAAATTTCTGTTTGGTTCAAACGTCAAATTAAACCAAACATCAAAAATCAAATTTTACTTCCTACGACCGAAAGTACTAATTTGGTGGATTTTTTTTCCCCCCCTTTTTTTAATCTTACACCAATGGAATCGTGATTTACACATTGCGTTAAAAAGGGTCCTATGGTTTTGTATCGTAGTACATATTGAGTAGTTTCTCTGTATATTCTCCAAACGTCAAGACGCCATTAGAGAGAGAGACATCTTCATGGTTTGTTACTTCCTTGGGAAATGTAAGCTTCTGATCCCTGATAAACCACAAAAACACATTTTTGTTATCAGTTTTTGTACAACATAATCAATGAGTTTTATCTACTTTTTTATAACTTAATCCAGATTTTAAGATGACTTTATTCAGCTAGAAAATTGTAAGGGTTCTTAGTGCATATTCCATTATTCCCTTTAATGATACTATTATCATATTATGTAAAGTCAATTATGTTCACTATTTTTTTTTTTTTTCACTAAGGTTTCAATGTCAAAATCTAGTAACTATAAGAAACTATCAATAAAAAGTTAGCTTAGTTCAGACTAATACCAGTCAGGTTGCATGAACAATGCAAATGTAGATCGCTCTAGACCACAAGCCTCATCTCCTTGTGGCGCCTGAACACGAAAACAAGAAACTATGGGTCGTTTTGGTGTCGAGATCCCAAACTTAATACAATACAAAAATATCCTAGAGTTGAGGCGAGTCATCTGCAAAGGCACGAAATATTATTACCCGTACACAATGAGGTGTAGCACAGAGATAACCTCTCGACAGAATCGCTGTTGTCTCGCCTATTTGGTATGCTATTTCATCTTCTCCATACACAACCTAATCATATGCAAAGGAAGCAATTTCTTAAGAACATTAATCATTATATATAAACGATGCAGAGTCATCAGGAAGGACCATTTGTGTACCTTAACGATCTGACCTGACCGTGTTTGAATGTATAAGCCAGAAGCAGGATCTGGGCAAGGTACTTCCACTGAATTTCTTGAAAATATTGCACGAGTAAGACCTGTGGATAAACGTAGAACGATACACTTAAACAGCTAATACAGAGAGAAAGATGAAAACCGTCTTTAAAAAGGAGGGAACTACACTCTAGTAAAAAGTAACAACTCAGGAAAGCAAGAGACCTGTGAGTGAACCATGGTCTGTATGCCATCCACACCAAGATGAGATGGAATCGTTGTCATCCGTTGTGCTGGATTGAAGACAATATGTCAATATATCAGACAATTAAGTACCTGATCTAGCCCAAATGCAATATCTACCTTTTAAAGAGGCATATATAACATGTCATGTGTACACAAGTATTTAACCACTAGGGACTAAACTCCAAAAGTAAATCAGCAGAGTCAAAGTACATCAAATTTTACCTATCCTGTGCAGGAAAATAGTAAAGCAGACGTCCTTTGTGACACCGAGAGCCAAGTAGTATCTTTTCAAGATTTTGCTTTTCATGTTGTTTTATACCCTTTGACACTGCAAATCATGGATTGTAAAGGGCTTCAGCAAAATAGACAATGACATAAAAATCCAACAATGAGCCTGGTTTCAGAGATTGTATCCACCCACCAATACTAAGTAAACTAATTAGTCTTCATTTTAAGAGTAATAATTGAATTTGGCTACTCTACAGACATAAACAACATGTATTCCGGAATATTAACTTAGTCACAATCTCTGGTTTCTGGATGATATTTCATTAGTGAGATAACGCTATACTATGCTCAATTCCAGACCTATCTTTGCAAGCAAAGCTTTCAATGTCTAAAGGATATCTACTCAAGGATGTTCAAAGATAGATTCAATAACGCCAACAAAATTAATTACCATATCGATCACAGTGGTAAGCTACCATCAGCCCAACTTCGAACATCAGTTTACCAAGAGCTTTGAAAGCTGTCATGTAAGAAAGTAACACTCAGTTCTTTGGAGGAAACTAGTTAACTAGAGAAAAAAATGTAAAGGAGAGAGCATCAACGAAAACAAGCTAAGGTTGCAAACGCAAGCAGATTTCATAAATTATCAAATTCATAGCACCGATCAATCGGAATCATGCTATCATTGATACATAAGAAAAGTAACAATTCGTTCTCAAAGCTGAGACACCAAAAATTTATTACCAAATTAAAAAAAAAAAACCTAACGATATGCAAGTAAAGCAAGTATCACCTAGTTACCTCCTTCGAGTTCCGGCAAAGAATTTCCTGGCCATATGTTTGATCCACAATACCATGGATACCTACATGATAAATAGATGCGAAAAATTATGAAGATAGAAAAGAAGAAGTCTGTAACTTTTAATGCAGACCAGAACATATAGTTCATGTAAACATAACACCAAATACAAAGTAACTTACAATACTATAAAAGCCAAATATTTGGAAAACATAAACCATGAGTATCAGTGTTCTTTACCGCTGGATTTCAGATGAATTACTCGTGGGTACATCTTGTAGAGGATTAGCATAATAAGAACCCTTTAACATGTCTGCACAAACAAATACCCAGAGCAGGCCAAAGAAACTATATTTAGCGAAATATTCGAAGTTCTTCTCAACGAGTAACTATGAAGCAACAGTGCGGCAATAAAACAGTCTATAAGCTCACCAAGCTTCCCGGATTCAAGTTTCTCCTTACCATGACTCCAACCGAAATTATACCTAAGAAGTAACAACGAAAAAAGAGGAGGAGTTAAAATATATATATATATATATATAGAAAAGAAGAAATAAAGTATATAGATTAAACAAAAGAAAATTGCGAGATAGTATTATTCACCTGCTATGAGCATCTTCAAGCTCCCTCTTCACCTCTTCAGGAAGATTAGCTAACCTTTTACAGAGGAAACAAATCATTGAGAGCAAATTGAAAAAAAATCTAATCTTTCATTGAATCAACCAAGCGACACAAACTCAAAAATTTTACCGAGGTGCAAGCTGAAGTAGATTCTGACGTAAATCAGAATACCCTGGAACCTAAAAAAAGAATCAAATTTGAACTTTTTGAACTCCTAATCAAACACAATTTGAGGTAAGAAATTATATAACCTTGACAACAAAAAACTGAACAAAAAACGATCTTTAACTGAATCAAATTTCAAATCATTTTAACTCCTAATCAAACACAATTTGAATGAAGTAAAGAATTACATAAAACTTGAAAACAAAAGAAATATAAACTGACGAAAATGCGACCTTTGATTGAATCAACATTGAAATCTTTTCAACTCCTAATCAAACACGTATTGAGGTAACAAATTACATAACCTTGACAAAAAATGACAGATAAAGTGAAGAAAATATGAACTTCAATAAAATCAAATTTGAAACCTTTTTTAACTCCTAATCAAACACAATTTGAGGTAACAAATTACATATCTTGACAGCAAAAGAAAGATAAACTGAAAAAAAAACGATCTTTAACTAAATCAAAATTTGAAATCTGTATAACAGATTACATAACTCATAAGCTGAAGAAAATTACAATCTTTATGGTGTAAGAAGGTGATTCATACATCTTTAACGGAAATGATTCCAAGTCCATCAGGTCCGAATCCTTGTTCAACCCTCGCAGATAAATCTATGTTGCTCTCCTAATCGAAACAGACATAAGGATTTTTAGAAGACAAAAACCGAACACAGAGAAGCCAAATGATTTAGGCTCAAAAAGATAATTCACTTTACCTTGAGCTCCGAGTAAGATACGGTGACGGTACTAACCGTAGGAACGGTGGATTCCGACGAAAGAGACATATCGCGGTATGTAATCAGATTACGAGGAAAGGAGCTAGAACCGGGGACACGCCAGAGATTTTGGGGATTTGGAAGCAATTGACACAAGTCATGACAACTAGTTAAGTTGTTGATGTGCCTTGGGCTTCGCTTTGTTACTTTTCACTTTTCAGATAGGCTTTTTGATTATTTATATTTTAATTGGATTTTTGCATAGTTGAAATTTTTTTTTTATAACGTCTAAATTAGAAAAATACAATTTAACTAAGTAAACGGAAACTAGAAACTCTCTTAGTCTAGTGGTTCTAAATTATTTTTTGCTTCTACATTAATAATAAATATTAACTAGGTAGGGATCCGCGCCAAGCGCAGACATGCGATGTATACAAAACTGATTACAAAATTTGTAGAAATCAAAGATTGGTAAGTATAATTTTGAGAAACTTTTCCTTGTTTCATGTCATGTGAAGAAGTTCTGTTTGAGAGAATGATCCATTGACGACACATCGATAAGAAGATCCTCATCAGAAATATTATTATCTTCATAATATTTATATTTATCAATAACACGAATAATCCAATAGGCGGCACATCAAGAAAAAGATTCTGATCAGAAATATCATCATCTTCCACTTCATCTACTATGTATTGGTTTTTTTCTCAGACTTCTTCTTCTGATTTTTTTTTTCTTAATTAGATTTTTCAGTAGCTATTATCTAAATAGATCAATAATTTTCTAAAAATTATTCTTCTCATCAAATTTTATTTCGATTCTGAAGTTAATTATTTCATTCGCTAAAAATCAAATATATTATACGATCACATCAAAAAGTATCAAGAGTTTCAATTACTTATTTCTCTCATAATATACTTATTGTTTTGAAATAAAATGTTTTCTGCCAACATTATTAATAAGACACCAAAAATGCTTAATGTTCATCAGCAACAACAAAATTTATTGCTTATATGAAATTTTTTTACACACACTCAATCCTTATCTTCATCTACATATGATTGTATGCAGTGTTTCTCATATGTGGTCGTTTCATCAACAAATGAAATTCATATTGGTCGATAATTTATTAAATAATATTTTGTTGTCTCAAACATTGTATTTACAAACGACTATCTCTTTCCATTTCACCAGAATTGTCTCTCATTCTTATCGGTTCTTATATTTCTCCTAAGTAAGCACAAAATCACTTATTAAAATTGTAGATCTAAATTTGAAAACAATAATGCATTAAAAATATTATTATTATTATATAGACTACAATACAATTTTTATTATATATATAAACTATTATTCAATATATGTTAACCCCGATTAAAAATATCTAAGAATAAAGAATTGTTAAATTATGTTCTTTCTCATTTTTTTTTTCCTTTTCTCTATCGTCTTCCACTTCCTTTTTCTTATGATATTTGCCTTCTCTAACTTCTTATTTTTCTTTTTATTTGTTTTTCTTCATCTTTTCCCCGTTGTATTCTTCTGCTTCATTTATTTTTTTCATTTTTTTCATAGAAATTAACTTCTTCATCATTTACGTATAGAAGGTTCTTTTTTTTATATTTCTTCTGCTTAGTTCTCCTTATTCATTATTGTTGTCTTCTTCATATTCTATGATTTCCTTATGGTTTTAATTTTTTTTGTCTCATTCTTCATCTTTACCTTCTTCAACTTCCTATTTTTCATCTTTTGGCCTTCTTTGTATTTTTTCTTCATCCGTGTTTATTTTTCCTTGTCTTATCCTTCTTACAAATCGTGTTTATCCAATTTTCTTCTACGTCTACGTCGCCTTTTTCTACTTCAACATCTTCATCTCATATGTCTTCTTATTACTTTTCTGGTTTTAAAATTTGTTTTTTCTTTGTCATAACGTGTTTTCCACCTTCTTCTTCACCTATTTTGGATTCTTTTTTTTTTTATTCCTCTTCTATATCTTTCAAATTTACTTATTCATCATCTTTGTCTTCTCCAGCTTATTATTCTTCCGGGTTCTCTGCTTCCTTTTCCTTCATTGTCTTCTTCTTCTTCTTCTTCTTCTGATTTGTAACATTTTCCTTCACCTTCCGATCTTTCTTTTACTTCATCATCTTCAACTTTTTCTTTATCTTCCTTCATTGTCTTCTTCTTTTCTTACGATTGTGTTTTTTGGTCTTAGAGTTTTTATTTGTCCTCTTATACCGGTTTTTATTCTTATAATTCTCTCCCTCTCTCTTCTTCTTCATGATCATCTTTGTCTTTCCCATCTTTTTATCCTTCCATGTTTTTATTCTTCCATTCGACAAATAAATTAGATTTTATTCTTCCATTATACAAATCAATTAGCTTTTCCATCCGAACATCAACCATCTTTACAATTCCAAACAAACTTAGAAGGTAATTCTGAATAATGGAGATATATAATCTTCGTTTACACACATTACACTCCAGCCAAGAAAAAAAATTGCTCGGTCGATTCTGACTATCCAAATATATATGTATAGTCAGAAAACAAAACCAGCATTTAAGGAAGATAGTAGAATAGAACATGAAAACCCTAAAAAAAATTAAAGCAAATTAGCCGCATCAAAGAAAAGGAACCACATGCGATTACACATGTAACATTAAAACAACTAAATGGACCTTCACTATGTTTTTCTTCTTCTTCAGCTTCATGAAAGGTAAATGTAGCCGGAGAAGTGACACAAAGCAAAGACTATTTCGTAGATACATGTGTTTCACATACTTACTTATACTTACATAATTCGCTAATTACCCCCTCATAATATGATATCCATTTTTTTTTTGCTGCTGAAAACATCAGATTTTTTCATAATTGTGAACAATTAAAAAAAAAATTAAAGTTAACTCCAAAATGTGATTTACGTCACAAATATTCAAACTTTCGTTTTCCACAATAAGCCTACAACTTCATATGAACAAAATGGAACTAAATTGTTTCATTTAAAGTTGAGCACTTTTTATATATTTGCATCGAGTTCTAGTTTTCTTAAAGTCTCTCTAATTACTTCCAAAGTCTCCTACATCAAAGACAACACCGTACTCCTCTCTCTTCTCTTTTAAAACTATCATGACATTTGCTTCTGGTCTCTCTAATACCAGCCTCAAACACAACAGGTTCATAGCTCAATATGTAATGATTGTATCAAGATTCATAGCCCAAGCTGTAAATTGACCTTTGATAGCATTAATCAAACTGTGTAGATCGAAGTTCAGACATTGAAGAGATAAAAAGATTGTGCTCTGTTTTATATTCTTATCCCACACTTGCAAGCTTTTGTTTTTTCCAGTTGGATTCTATCAAATGGCTAAGATCACGGTGACACCAACATATGCCCTTGCAGAGTTTGTTCTCTTAAAAAAAAAACCATTTCTTCCAAAAAGTTGTGCTGGTTTTTGTGAAATTTCACCTGATTAATTAAAAACTCTCATTACATGTTTTTTTTAACCTTGTTTAGAGTTTGTTCTTTCACAAATTGTGGCATTAGCCGTAGTATCCCTAGGTGGGCCATCGCAAGAGTAACCGATCTAGAATTAAATTTGTTTTCTGCATTGGTTGCTCTTGCTTGGATTATACAAGTGCCATCAAAAAAATCCTCTAATCTAATCTTCAGTAACTATATAATTGGACTGCCCTAGCATAGGAATCTCTCTCTATTTACTTTAATTGAGGCTTAAACAATATAGGTCTCTTAAGATAATACATTTTTTACTGAATGAAGATTGATGTGGAAGATGACGCCGTTTGCTGTCTTCTTCTTGTTGTCTCTCATTCCATGACTTAACCCACCTGGAGTTGTACTCTTCAAATGGGATTTGGTTAATACCTCTGCAATCCTTGTCTCGACTTTGCTCGGCTTTCTTCTCCAGCCTGCTCGGGCCATGGTTCTAGAACACAATATTGGGAGGTACCTCTCATACGGGGTTTCCACTGTGGATTCTAGGATCCAAACCCATTAGGATGGAAACTCGGTATAAAATAGCAATTGTGCCTCTTGAGACACTTAATTGCATTCCATCCAAGTCAAAAAAATGGTTATGCTTTTCCTTTTTTTTGAGTTATCATTGTCAGACCACATAATCTGTAATGAAAGGAGATGGTAAGGTAAGACATGATTCCCTACCAAAAATATCAATATAATAAATTAAAGAGATCAAAATTATAAATTAGAGAATTTTCGAGTGGGATAGTATAACAAGTTATCTATTTTTTGCACACTTTAAATTTGTATAAAACTATTTAACAGCAATTATTATTTACAATTACCTGTTAGATCCATTGGAAGATATGATTCCAAAAGTTCGAGCCAATCAGCTATAGTTTGCGGGATGAACTCTAGGTTTAAGGAAAAACAATAGAGAAGTTCAGATCAATCTATATTTACGAACAATAATTGATTACTCCTAAACATAATTACATATGAAATATGATTGTTCATTTCCTAAACATCTTTACGAACACAATATATAAAAAGACGTTTACGAACAATAAATAAAAGGAACACGACCTAAGAAGACGGTGACGGTTGTTGTATGTTAAAAAAAATGTAGACGATACAAATATATATAGAGTAGAATAAATGCTTTAGGGTTTAGGGTTTCTATGTTGGTGGCGTATTTAACAGATTCGGTGGCTATGGCCAAGAACAAAATTTCTGGGCCATGAACAAATTCGATGGCCCATAATCAATGAAAAAAAGCCATGTCATATATATATTGACACGTAGGATTAATGATCGTCATATCAGAACTAATTAAAACGCCACATCATTTTTTTTAATTATGACACGTAAGCGAATCGATGTGGAGGCGACACATAGGATTTCTGACTTCGCAAATAATAGTATAGATATTCCAATATAGTTGATTTTCATATCTTGTCTGTAACTAATTCAACTATTTCCTTTAGAACTGTATTGAAATTGTTAGGATTTAGCTAAGTTTGATGTTACTTAAGATTTAGATTTGAGAATGGTTTTTCGAGAAAGAAAAAAACAGACTGATGAAAACAGAGTAAGGGAACAAACACGAAGTTAACGAGTTTACGCCCTTAAACTTGGATCGCTACGTCTCGCCGGGAAACCTTCCCGGAAATCCACTAGAATCAATGTGACTGAGTTA